AGCTCTGCTGAAGAATTTTGTGCTGATTATGGGTTATTGTGAGCCGTACTGGTCGTAAGGGGATGAGGATTCGCATGATTTCTTTGTACTTCCTTCTGCCCTTGAACCAGCAGCAATTTGTAGGTGAATGGGCCAAACTAGGCAATCGCACTGTATCCTCCCAAAAGAGAAACGGCGGAGCAACGTTTTGAAGAAACGCAAAGTGTCCCACTGAAATTCTCTCGTATCTTACAGATTCTTGCAAGGACTCCGGCAAGTACATGGACGATACCACTCGCTATAAGGTCCTACAATTTCACGACGGAACTCGAACTGTACTCGCTCTAGGAGAATCGCCAGATAACAAAGGCGGTTTCCTCCCACCTGCCAAGAACTTATTCAAGATGGTTAGTTCGAAGTTATCGACTATTGAAAAGCGCTTCGCTTACACCAATTTTAGTAGCATGCCTTCGAGGTGCACGACCGTAGATCCCTGCATAGGGGCAAAGTACTCGCTGAGAAGGGGGGGGGGCTACAGTGAAAACCCCTAATTCGCACTGTCACAGTTATCCATTTTCCTCCTGGCTTTCAGAGATGGAATTGTGCCCTAGAAGAACAAGCTCGTAAGTTGACTGAAAACTGTCCTGACAAAGTCACAGGAGTACCAGAACAAGGACGGAATTTCTATCAGTAAGCAAAACAGCCCAGTTTTCGCTTTGACCTCCAGGAACCTCATCAGGTATTCTGACCAATTTCAGCGGCGCTGTAACAGATACGAGAAAAGGAAAGTTCCAATTCCTAAGCGATGCGGTAGACGAGTGGCTTGCTCCAACGGACACCTATGCTTTGGGAGCTGATGCCACCTTCGATGACAGCAATTTGTATTCCTTCGCTAATGTGAGTCACGGATCTGGACACTCTCCTTATCCCCAGGTTGGCCAGTACACGATTTCAGATGGTATATGAGAAGATTTACGAAATCGGTTGCACTTTTGAACAATGTGGTAGCGGCAGCGCAGCCAAAGCTTCGCTCCTGTGCATTTACAATACCAAGTGAGCTAGATATGCACCTTTCTGAAGGAATATCGTCAACCATTCACATCTCCCATTTCAGAGTTCCCTTGAACACAAAGCTGTACGAAATAGGAAGCACGAACCAAACTATTGCGGGTTGTGCATGGGATGATAAAGTGTGTGAACACCTCCAAATAAAGGAATCAGCCGAATGTGATGATCTTCTCTGCAAGTTGCCTTACAAGGTTCAAAACGGATTCCTATAATTCTTTGCTGTCTAGTGTGCAATAAATCCTTGCAATCAACTCTGTGTAGACCGTGTAAAAGTGAAGTAGCGAATTAAGCAAAACAAACAAAATCACGTCAAAAGCTCAAAGTATTGGAGCCATCTACAGTATCTGGAACACTATTTGCAATACAGAGAAAGTGCACTTATGCAATACCACTACGGTATTACACTGGAGATGAGAAATTGCGAACAGAGTTCTAGAAGTGTCTCTGGGTGCCTTCTTATTCAGTGGAAGCGGTTCTGATTAAATTTCGGTTGTAAGTCAATCGCATGGCGTATTCCAAGCGTGGCCGTGGAATTCGAGAGAGGACAGGCAGAACTTTTGGTCAGGTATACAAGCAGCGTTGCAGCCAGAGAGTGAGTGACGAATACTTCGATGAATGAAATCTCCCAGCCGGTAGCACACTCAGCACCCACTGCTTCCCAAAACCGCTTCAAAGGGGCAGACTTCGCGATGAGCCAGCGAAAAGTTAGTGGGTGGCGTGGTTGAGAAACACAACTGTATGTGCTAATTGACTCGCTTGTGAAGAAAGGGAAGGAAACCGCCGAGAAAGCCTCAAATAAGGCTCTGCTCGTGCCACGAAACCCACACAATTAATGCGAATATCGGGAGAGAGCTAGAGAAAACAGCGAGAGAGCATGCAAACGAAGGAGAGCGTAAGTAAGACATCTGTAAACTTGGGCGGAGTCACTTGAGCAACCTTGCGCCTTACCACTGCTACCTTGCCACTTTCTGACGTAAAACTTAACGGATGGTTGCAGACGTTGCCTTTAAGGTGCGATTATAGAAACTATACAATCCCTTCGAGGACGACACTTTTCATATGCGAGGTGAATGTAGTGACACTCGGTGCCGTTTCCATACTTCGCCAGCGCTACCTTCTAGGTGCAGCCGACACCGAAATCCCGCAGCAAAAAGGCAGTCAAAGGTAGAGTAAGTGTGTGGCAGTGGATCGAGTACAGAGTATAGAGAGCAGCTTCATCGACAGCTAATTAAAGGCAATTCCCGCGACCACACTTCATAGGTAATACAGTTCAAAAATAGAATTGCCCTGTGATTGTTGACTTATTGAAGAGAAGGAACCACGAAAAAGCGCCCGCAATAAGACCCTCTTTATTTCAATTGATCATGATCACCGGACGAGCGTAAGGTGGTCAAGATCGATTGTGGATGGCAAAAGGCGGCGAGACACTGATAAGAGACGAGAGAGAGCCAGAAA